CCGTAGTGATAGATGTAGCAATCCCAAGCGATAGCAACATCAGGAAGAAGGAACACGAGAAGCTTGAGAAATACCAAGGGCTGAAAGAAGAGCTAGAAAAGATGTGGAAGGTGAAGGCACAAGTGGTCCCCATGGTAATAGGAACATTGGGGGCTGTGACCCCCAAACTGGGAGAGTGGCTCCAACAGATCCCAGGAACAACATCTGAGATCTCTGAGTGCAGTCCTAGGAACAGCTAAGATACTGCACAGGACCCTCAAGCTCATAACAAAAGAGCATCAATCTCATTTTACAAATTGGAAAAACATGATTAAACATAGTTCTTAATATGAATGGAAATTTCCATTTGGCACCAGTGATAAAGACTTTTGCTTTATTGTTATTTAACTAAAATGATAGGGACATCCCTCAGAAATGGTAATGTTTGAAGACAAGTATAAGAGTGTAATCATATAAAAATGAAGATTTATTGAAACAATGAATTAGGCAGCCCAACAACAGTCTATACCTGGTTAATAAAACAGGATCAACAGCCACCACATGGGGCACTACCATAGTTCAAAACATCACCCGTATCAGCAGTTGAGAATGTTGTTTAGTGCTTTACCTCAGCATCTCTTGAGGGTGGGAGGTAGTTGAGTAGTGTTTTGGAACAGATGCATTATTTTAATTCTCTAAATTTATTTCACTCTACAGATATTCGGTGATGTTAATATAATGACTCAAAAAAACACTTTATTTTGTCTTATTTTTTTGCACAGGTATAACCATGACAGCTCAGAAACATTACAGGACAACATTGAATTCACTGCAACAGATGGCATAAATTCAGTCAGTTTTGTTTTGCAAGTGAAGGTAACAGCTTATTTGAGAAAAATTTAAAAATCAAATAGAGATTGTAATAGCTGTACATTCTTGGTCCATGACTTGCTTGTTATTTCTAGGTGATGCCCATTAATGATGAGATCCCAGTGTTGGTTGCTGGCTTGAAACCTGTTCTCAGCTGTGCAGAGGGACGGGAAATAGTCATCACAGCTGAGTATATCTGCGCCACTGATGCAGACAGTGACAACAGCAGCCTGGCCTTCCTAATTGCTCGACAGCCGCATCATGGTGTAGTGCTCCGAAATGGTGTTGTGGTCGATCGTTTCATCCAGGCAGACATCACTGCAGGGATCATCACCTACAAACACACTGGTAAACAGTAAGCCTGCACAATATGATGAAAATATGTGATGTGCGATAACACTGTTCAGTATTGCCATGACAATATAACTTGTAATAAATAAATATTTTAGCTATACTGTTCCTATATCTGTCTGCTTTAATAGATGCACTGCTACCCAAACATTAAATAGCACATGCCCACTGAGTAAGGAAATGAAATAAATTATTTCAAACCTGTTTTGTTGAACAAAACACATGAATACCCAACTAATTAACTGAATGTTAATATTATAAAATAAGATATATACTGTATATCCTGATGCTTTTAAAATACTTTCTTCTAAATTCAACATAGACATCTCTTGAAATAAAAATATTTTAGGGAAACTAACTTAATTAATTAAATATAAATTAAACAAATTTAAAAGTAAAGTAAATAGCGTTCATAATTTTTTAAAGTTGCATTTTTGGGCATTTTAGCTTTTAGAGTGCTTTGCAAGGAGGTGGGCAGGAAATCGCGAGGGAGCGGGGGGGAGACATGCAAGAAGTATTGGTGTTCGGACTTACTCATCGAGGTCGCGCAGACGGTGTGCTGCTGTGTACATGGGCAAACATTAAGCATCAGAGTATATGAACTAGAATTAACTTTATTCACTTGCAGATCGGTCAATATACATCCATGCTATATACAGTGTGCTGACCTCGCCTGAAAATTGCACCAATACTTCTTGATCGGACACTGTAGCTCCTCAAAATAGGGCCAAATGACTCAAAGAAGACATCAAAAAGCACCAGAAATGGTTTCAGACAATGGAGTGTAGAGTTCTGAAGTGGCCAACAATAAGTCCAGATCTAAATCCCATAGAGTGCCTGTGGAGAGATCTCAAAACAGCAGCTGGGAGAAGGAACCTTTAAATCTGAGACACCTGGAGCAGCTGGCAAAAGAACAGTGGTCCAACATTCTAGTAGAGAGATGGAAGAAACTCACTGATAGTTACAGGAAGTGATTGATTTCAGTTATTTTGTCCAAAGGGTGTGCTACCAAATATTAAGTTGAGGGTGTCAATAATTATGTCCAGTCCATTTTTGGAGTTCTGTATGACATGTATCAGATTTGGCTTTTTTCTGCTCTTTTGTTCCAGTGCAAATGAAAGAAATAAACATGAGGATATCAAAGAATTTGTGACTGCAACAATTTTCTGGGATAAGTGGTGTTATCTGGCAGAAATGCAGGCGTGCTGACTGTGTATACTGTATCTTATAGAGAGAGATGAAATGCAATACAGTTAGAACTGTCTCTAAAAGTGTTTTCTGTGTTTGTAATTGTGGTTTAAGGACTGGAAATTGGACTCATCCCTCGCTATGACACCATCACTTTTGTTGTTTCTGATGGAGAAACGGAAAACTATGCTCTATGCTGTGGTGGAGGAAATCCTATCTGGACCAGAGGCACAACTCAGCTGCGAGACAGTCTGCCTGTGTATGACCTCCAGATTACAGTGTTTCCAGTTGACAGCCAGCCACCTTCACTAACAACAGGTGGCTCACTATTCTGTGGAATAGTTAAAGCTTCTAAACATCCATATCCACCTGATTAGAACTTTATGTGTCTGTACAGACTGTGTTTAATCTCTCCCACATCTCTCACAGTCTCTGTTACCTTTGTTAGCTAGTGGACCTAAATGATTTCTGGATAACAGATGAAGTTAGCAACTAGTGTTTTAAAAGAAAGAGGGCCTTATAACAGCTAAAGAGTCAATTTTTCCCTCAGGAGTTGGTGGACACCAAATCAGAGCTAAGGGGAAAGTGAGTTCCATTCATTGCGTGACCATTGCGTGAAACAGAATTTCAAATGATCGTCAATGCTTTGTGTCTGCTGGATGTGTAAATATGTGACTGTTTCCAAACATGTTAGCTATAACACCTTTAACACCTTTACAAGCTTTTAATATCAGTGATGAGGACTCAAAGCTGATAGTTGTGGACCTCTAGTGAGCTCAAGAGACAGTATTTAATCAACCAAGTTTCAATGTTAGTTAATATTTTTTGTTCATGGGTCAACACTCACCAGTTGGACATGAACATAAATAGCCTATTGCTTTATTTTTGCTTGGCGTATACATACTGTAAGCAACTTTTTGCTAGCTATGGTGTTTTCACCTTGTTATGGAGTTTTATTGCCCCTCAGTGGCCCAAAAATGTATTTAATCAAAAATTATTAAACTGCATTTTGGAGTAGTTTAATCTTGATGTTGCCTGTACATAAGTTTTTTTTCCAGCTACACCTATTTTAGGACCACCTTCAAAGAACAAGGCTGCAGCTGATTTTTATGAAAGAATTCATATGAAATATCACTGATCTTCTGCGTAAATTGGGACCTTTAAAATCTGTGCATGACCACAGTGAACCAAAATTATAATTGAAATAAGACAAAAATGAACAAGACACATCTGATTTAAATGAACAGGAAATGATTTAGTTATTTTCAAATCACCAAATGTTCAGTTATTTGAATAGTTGCAGGAATTTAAGCATGATGTTTTATCATAAATTCTCATTTTTTGGTAGGAGACATTTTTATGGTGGATGAAGGTGGAACTGCCCCAATAACTACATCTCATTTGAAGGCTTCTGATGTGGACACTGTCCTAGACCAGCTGGTGGTCAGTTTGATTTCTCCTCCCCAGTTTGGCTTCATTGAAAATGTCCTGCCCAATCCTGGGTTTGAGAAAGGCAACAAGGGCATAAGCGTAGGTAAGTATTCTGATCTACTGTTTCATCAGATAGTTGAATCAGAAATTAATGGGGTGTTTTGTTCTGTCTAATATTCATTTTCACAGCCTCATTTTCATACAAAGATCTCACTGAAGGCCATGTGAACTACGTACAGTCCAGACACCAGAGGATGGAGCCCACAGCTGACCAGTTCCTGCTCTATGTGTCAGATGGCAAACATAGCTCTGCCCATGTCCCCTTCTACATTATTATCAACCCAACAAATGACGAGGTCCCAGAGTTTGTGGCTCGCAATATCACAGTAAGTTTTTCTGGTCAGCCTCATTTCTGAAGATTATAATACCCAGGAGACAGTCACACCAGACTTTGTTCACATATTCATTGGGGTCCTTTTGTGATGAGGTACGGGAGGGAGAAATAAAACGGATGGACTCATCGGTGCTGCACGCGATGGATCTGGATGTTCCCAGGGATGTCCTGCTCTTCAGCATAGTTAAACCTCCCCAGCATGGCAACGTCATTAACTACAACAGTGAAAAGCCATTCAGCAAGAGACGAGAGGCCCTTCCCCAGACCCCTGTGATCGACTTCACAATGACGGATCTTACTGATGGTACTTTTTATGTAGCTGTGTTGGAAACTCATTTCACCTAGGACATTATTTTATCCAGGCATCTGCAGTCTGGTTTACATTCAGAGATGTTCTTGCAGTAGCGGTGCTGATGCTGCATTCATGTCCTGTGGGAAAGATGACATTGCTGTACCTGAGCTTTCAGATATTAAAGAGGCACCTACAGTGTTTTGCACAAGAAGATTGTTTAGTCATTAATCATGAGACATATACTCGGCCTTTGGAAACAGGTGTAGAGTTGTATATTGTAACCCTGGTGAGATCAGGGTTTAGGAGACAGCATACAAGTGATTAGATTTTAGGTTAGTCTGCATTTTAACATTAAAGTTATGTAAGTTAGTGATTGCCCAACTTACACTTGATCTTGTTTTATTTTCCAAATAAGTGGTTGAGATAACTAGGTTAAACTGTAGTTTATCCATCCATTATCGCTTATTTAAGGTTCTCCAGCTCCTCCTGCGGGACCCTGAGGTGTTCCTAGGCTGGATGAAATAAAGAACCCCTCCTGTATTTTGACTTTCTACTAGTTAAACTGCTCACAAACTCTCCAATGAGATGCCAGGAGGCATCCTGATCACATGCCCAAACCACCGCCACCGGCTCCTTTTGAAGCAAAGGAGCAGTGGCTTTTGTTTGAGCTCCACCCAGATGTCTGAATATCACACATTATTTCTAAGGCAGAGTCCAGCCAGGCTACACTGGAAACTCTTTTCACTTGTATTTTCATTCTCATTCTTACTACCCAAATCTCGTGACGATAGTTTAGGGTTGGAACATAGATAAAAGAAAAAACTTTGCCTTCGGCCTCTGCTCCCTCTTCACCACAGTAATCCTATACAATGCCCACATTACTGCTGGCACTGCACCAACCCGCCTGTCAATCTCACACCCCATTTTACAGCATTAAACTGTAGCACAGTACCTATTGCATTTACCTATTGTACAATTGTTAGCAATAAATTTGCTGTGGTGAATGGTGAGGGCCAATTCCTTAAACTTTTGTTTGTATCTCATGGCCTTCTTCAGCAAATGGAACTTGCTCAAGTTTCACCAAGACTCTTTAAACAGAGGTTGCCACTCCCCCCCCCCATAGATGGGCAGGTAGGTCATATGATGACCCCTGAGAAAATCTTATTTACTGAACGTTATGAATCTCCTTTCAGTCCTCAGTTACAATTTAATTCAAAGGAAATAAAATCATGGAAAGAAGTTTGGATTTGCTGATAATCAGGATCTCCAAAGTTCCTGGATTCTTATGTCAAGGGAATATTAACATATGTTTTATTTAAAATTATCAGTTCCTATCATTTTGTGTTGATGACTCTTGAATTAAGGACTTCTGAATGCTATGATGGCCATGTGAAACTAAGCACTCAAACCACTGTAGAATAATTTAAACTCACTCTTCCCTCTTTCAATAAGTCAGATAAATCTATCATCATTGCCTTGCAGGTATGGATCTGATGTATATGCACGATGACTCAGAGAATATGGAGGATAGTTTTACCATCCAGTTAACTGATGGCAAGCACCAACTTCACAGACAGGTGATGGTTAAAGTGCTACCAGTCAATGATGAGGAGCCTCATATAATAAGGTTAGACTACCACCTTCATTACAGCCAGCGGCACCTGTAGCCGTTATCCTGTACACACCATGCATACATTTTTATAGTGATTTTACTCAAGTTTTATGCCACTGCATCTGCCATTGTCCATGCACTATCTATACTGCTTTGCCATTGGGTGAGAGGCAGAGTACACCCTGGACAGTTCTATCACAGCTGCATGTCTTTGGACTGTGAGAGGTAGCCGGAGTACCTAGGGAGAACCCACCCAGGTTGGACAGGGCTTGAACCTGGAACCTTTTTGCTGTGAGGCGACAGCACTAACCACCGTTCCACCATGCCACCCGGTGGTCATGTACAATAGAGAAATGTAGTTTCACATTTATGGCCCAAGGAGCTATTTAATGTGATATCGTATCGCACACCCCTAAAGTGGATCATATCATTTCTACTCCCTAACGTGAGCCCTGCAGGTCGGAGTAAGTGACAGCTGCTACACACTGACTTTACCTGACATCAGTAGTGCCTGTACCATCATCAGGACATGTTCAGGGTATTTATCTTTCATTCGCTCATGAGTTGCATTCATGTGTGATAGGTGGACTAATTATTGTGCATGGAGTTAAGTATCAGATCTCTTAAAAATAAGAGTATCTTGGTATAATGAGAAATGTTTCCCATTAAGACAAAATTCATGTTTCCATAGGCAGTTCTTGTGTGAACTATGAAATATAATGCTGCAGGTGCCACTGGTTACAGTTCCTATTTATAATGCCATCATGATTGATTGTAGAAAAGAAATGTGAAACTTGTCTCAAATGTCTGTCATTTAGAAACAATGGCCTGGAGGTGGAGCCTGGAGAGGTCAGGTTGATCTCCAGTGTCACACTCTTTGCACAAGACAGTGATACTCCCTCTTCAGAGGTCATGTACATATTTGAGAGTGTTCCTACCCAAGGACTACTTCAACTTAAGGTTGGTGCAATGCCTTAAGGTTTTAAAGAAAAACACCACATTTTCTGATATTGCTGTATGTCCCCTGTCAGTTGACCTGTGATTACAGTGATGAGAATGTACTAAAATGTGTATTAGCCCCCAAATAGACTGCTGATGCCAGTGCTCAGTATTGACAGTTTAGCAGACACTATGGTCAATCATAAAGATTTTTTCAAATTTGAGAAAATTGGAACTTGCAACTTTCTAAAACCAAATGAAAAACAATTAGTTATTCACAGATAATGGCTGTGACAGGAGGCATTAGTGGTAATAAAATATGACAAAATATCAGAGGAACTATACACAGTTGGTCATCTGCAGTAATTCCAGAAATAAAGCCTGTTAAACCAGTGACCTCAGTTCAAGCTATATCACATTTTAGAGTAATGAATATACACCCTAGATGATAAAACAACCTTATAAGCTTCGAACATTAGCTGACATACCAGACACAATAATTAATATCCATATATTCAACAGTATTGTATAATGTGAAACACTGTACTTGTAGTGGTGAAGCAGTAGATAACTCTCACCAATTATATAGTTCCCCTAAGCTTTTTAGTGTCTTTCAGCTCACTGTTTTTTTGTCAAGTCAAGGAAAGCTTGATTAAACAATTTTGCTGAGATTTTATATTTTCATATGATTGTCAAAATTGTCTTATTGCTGAATAGTGATGCAGTTGAGCACAAGGATGGTATAAAGGTTTTCCTCAGTGATGATTTTGTTTACTGCAAGAGAACAGATATGTAGTACAGTATATACAGTAAGCAGGTTATAAGCAAAAAGATACACTCTGAAAAAAATGTTGGCAGTGGCTGTCTTTATAACAACTAGTCAACTGAGGAATCTGATTGGACATACACTGCAAACATTTATATAATATTTATGTCCAGGTTTTTGTTACTAAGGGCTGCCTCTTGTGAGCCAGTGGTATGCCTGTAAAGGAGAGTCCCACTGTGCCATTGGGATGTGCTTCTTTATAGTTAGCTGTCACTGTTAACACTGGACCATACAGGGAGGTGTTGTGGTTCTAATCGTTATTGATGCTGTCTCAGGAAGGCCAGAAGTGGGTGACACTGACCGCTGGGAGAAACTGTACCCAGGAAATGGTGAACATGAACCTTTTGCGCTACATGCACACAAGCCAGCACGGTGCTAAAACACAAGATTTCTTCATCTTCTACATACTGGATGGAAAGAATCAATCACCCCTACAGCATTTCCATATCTCTGTCAAAGATCTTGAGAAAGGTACTCCTATCCAATCTTAATTTCTTCATCAGACATACGCTAGACTTAGATCACATTTGCTACTTGCGACATTGTCATGACTGCAAAAATCACATGTCCAATGTGCTTCCCTGTTCTCTGCCTAGTGTGAAATCATACAAATGTGGTCCTAATCTTGTTGTACCCTTTAAATGTCTCCTCCTCCACAATTTTCAGGAAATATTGCTATCTTCGTGAAGCCAGTGAACGTCAGCCGGGGTGATCGTGTGGTTCTCACCACAGAGGTGCTGTTAGCCACAGATGGTACAGACAAACCTGAGGAGCTTGTATATGTCATTACCAGCCTTCCTGCTCATGGACATATAGAGTACATCAAGCATCCTGGGCTGGCCATCTCCACCTTCAGCCAGTTGGACATAGCAGCAAACCTTGTGGCTTATGTTCATGACAACCGAGGCAGCACACCCACAGAAACCTTTCAGTGAGTCAGGAAACTGTTGTGTAACTTGTCTAAGACTATAGATATGCTTGCTTTTTAAATAGGTCTATTAGCATTAGCAGATGTGCACAGTTAATTTCCGAGGAGTCAAGCTACTAACTGTTTGAAGGAATGCACAATACCCAGGATAACCATCACACACACGTGAAAACCTGGTTGTCTTATTCAAAGTGTTTTATTTGTCATATGCACAGTTAGGAAACATGTTTCCCTATACAATGAAATTCTTACTTTGCAGTCCACATGAATGCCACAAAAATACAAGTGAAATATAAAGTAGATAAATAAGTAACACAAAATCTAAGGCACTTTAAGCAGCAAATGTAGCAATATAATAAAAAAATATATAAGAATATAACAGAGAATGTATGCTGCATGGGAGCAGCATGTGCAGCAGTCAACAGTCATTGTGCCATTATGCATGTGCAAACTGAGAACGTAAACAGTACAGGTCGACAGTACATCACATATTTCCTGGTAATAAACTCCTCAGGTGTTTAGGAGTCTGATGGCAGAGGGAAAGAAAGAGTTTTTCAGGCTAGTGGTCCTGCATTTCACACTTCTGAACCTCCGGCCAGAGGGCAGAGAAGTGAACAGTCTGTGCTGGGGGTGGGTGGGATCTTTGAGGATGGAGGCAGCCTTCCTACGTACCCTGCGGTGGTAAATGCTCTGCAGAGAGGGCAGTGGAGTCCTGGTGATCTTCTCCACAGTCTTTACCACGTTCTGCAGGTGCTTGCGGTCCATAGCAGTAGTGCTGCCATACCAGACAGTGATGCAGCTGGTCAAGATGCTCTCAATGATGCAGCTGTAGAAGTTGCAAAGGATCCTAGGCGACATGCCAAACCTCCTCAGCCTCCTCAGGAAGTACAGCCGCTGTTGGGCCTTCTTGACCAGCTGTGTGGTGTTAAGTGTCCAAGTGAGGTCCTCACTGATGTGGACGCCCAGGTATTTGAAGCTGCTCACCCTCTCCGCTTTGAGCCCCCGGATGAACAGTGGCTGATGAGATCTCCTCTCCTTCCTAATGTCCACTATCATCTCCTTCGTCTTGTCCGTGTTGAGGCTGAGATTATTGTCCTTGAAACAAGACACCAGACTGGCCACCTCCCTCCTGTAGGCTGCTTCGTCCCCACCACCCTTATGTGATATTAATTACATATATGTAGATACTTTGTGTTATAAGACTGAATCCATTTGTTTGTCCTGCTATGACAACATGTAAACCTTAGATTATATTGCTCACCTGAGACACCAGTCATAATTACAACACAATGCCAGCTTGGCTGAACTAGCATTAGCATGAGCAGCAACAGAACAATAGGCAATGTTATCTAGACTCAGCTCAGTTCTTTCAAAATTCAAAAGGACATGTCAAAATAAGTGCTATACAAACATTTAAAGCTACTATACATTGGATTTTCTATGCTGAAATAAAGATATATATACCTATTATGCTTCTACCAGTAATAACCCTAAGTCTACCCCTAACCCATGACTGTCTATCAAAGTCATTGATTAACTGATTCATATTTCCTGGTTCTAATCTGTTTCTTAGTGATTGCTTTTGTTTAGACAGCCTAACACCCAGTTTGTTGTATGTTTTGGCAGGTTTGTTGTTAGTAATGGTAAGATGAGCCGAAATGGAATCATTGAGATTGCAGTGGAAATGGTGGATCGCATAATGCCAACTCTGGCCACCAACAAAGGCCTCAGAGTCCCCCAGGGTTCCTCCGTGATCCTAGGCCCTGACGTCCTAGCCCTGTCTGACCCAGACACTCCACCCAGCACCCTAACTTTTGTCCTTCTCCAGCCTCCACAGCATGGCAGGTTGCTTTTAGCTGGTACCACACTAACCACTGGTTCAAACTTTACACAGAGAGACATACAGGAGCTGGACGTATCATATAAACACAATGGGGGGCCATCGCAGATTGATCTGTTTGCCTTTACTGCCTGTGACAGCACCAATCGAGGTTTCCTGCTGGATGGACGGTTGCATACAGAACCTGTGTTCTTCACCATTCAGGTGGGTGATAAAGGGTGTATTTTATGAGCTTTAGAGGTTTTGTGATTGTGTCCCCACAGTCCTAGCCTTAGCTCTTCATAGCATCATACTGTATTTTGCTGATAGAGGATTTATGTAAGTTGCAAGAAGCTCCATCCATCTAAACATGCCTAAAAACACAATGCCAAAACTAATGGCTAAAATACAAAAATGAAGAAAATGATTGTTTAAAAACTTTATTCAACAAGCTGTTCGCTAACACCACATTAAATTAATAGGATTACCGTTAGCAATGAACTAGGTCATACTCTCTTTTTTCCCACCTTTTCTGATGCTAAAATGCTAACATTACTTACAAAGATCTTTTAACGTCTGCAGATAAAGTTATATTCATCCACTAAGAGATTGAACATTTAGAGTCAAAAACACTATGAAAGCAAATTTGCTTTTACACTTTTTGGCAGTGAAAGCACTGAAACATTTGAACCAGTTAAGTCTTGTTAAATAAGACAGCTAGAAAAAATGAGGCAAAAGAAGTGGCATTCTCCATGCTTCCAAAACTGATCAACTATGTTTGATGCATCTTTAGTGGTTTGTTGTATCATTGTGCTGCAAAAAACAGATATAGTGTTCTTCTAATCTAGATAGTTAAATGTGTGTTTATCATATAGACTATGTGAAATAATTTCAGAAGTTCAGACTAATCATGTTAACCAGGCGCAATATTATTTAGAAACGGTTTATAATTTCAGATCAAGCCTTTGGATAAGTCGTCTCCTAAGGTTGTGAAGCTGCTTCCTCTGTGGAAAGCTGAGCTTCTACCCGATGGACGATATGGGATATTTCTGTCATCTCGGGAGCTGAAGGCCCAAGACAGTGACAGCAGAGAAGAAGAGCTAATATTTTGCATTGTTCGCCCACCCTACTTTGGTTACCTGGAAAACATAACTACAGGTTTGAAAATCAGTTGTTACTATTTATACTTCAGAATAATTTCAACTGTAAAATGAACACAATGTAAATTAAAGAAAAAACTATGCATTCTCTTTGCTGCAGGTGGTTTTGTGCCACAGCGCTTCTCTCAGATGGAGCTGAAGAAGAGAATTATCATCTATATCATCACTCCAGAAAGGGAGTCTCTGTCAGACAGCTTGGAGTTCACTGTGTCTGATCCTTTAGGGAACACTGCTCCCTCTCACATGTAAGAAACAATGCATGTTTTTTTAATGACACCTTGAATAAGGAGTTTAGGCTTCACCGTGCTTGACCTTGTCTTTGTAGACTTGAATTCAGCTGGTCCAGTGTGGAGCTGTCTCAGCCTCAGTACTCTGTTTGTGAGGGACAGGGAGCTGTCTCGCTGGACATAATTCGAAAGGGGAACCTGGCAGAGTCTTCATACATCACTGTCAAGGTCTGCAGATATTTGTTATTGAAACCGACAAGCTGTTAATGATTTTTACTTTATAAGTATAATTAACGTGAGCATTGTTGTGTTAATAAAGATTCTCTGGACCCCAAGGAACTTTGTACTATGCAGGCCCTGGACTGCATTTTGACAGATTCATTACTGTGATTATTGTGACCTGAAGCTTGACCTTTATCCTACAGATTTTAAGATGTGCTTTTCCATCATGTTTCTTTATTTAGGTAAAGACAGTGACTGCAATCACAGGAAAAGATTTCCTCCTGAGTCTTTCTTCCCTCATCCAGTTTGATCCAGGCGAGTTCTCATTAACACAGAAAGCTTGTATTATGCTTTTTCAATTAGCCACTCCACCCATTTCACAAAAAAAGATCAGTTTCCTTGATGATAGGAAGTAGAACTCAACCTGTGAAAACAGCTGTAGGTTATTCTTTAACCCTGAATTGGGATTGATAGAAGAACCAGCTGTTCTAGGCCTTGTTTTGGGACAATCTACTTCCTACAGAAAAGCTAAGTAAGCAGATGTACACTGCTGGTGGGCACAGGAGGGGGTCAAGCCTAGTATCACTCATCCTAGTTCTTGGAACCTTTTCAAAACAGTTTGAAAATACCTCAGCTAAAAATATAAATCCAACAAAATTAAACTCCCTCACTTCTGTTTAATTTATCACACAGCCTCTTCTCTGTTTTACTGGTAAACATCAAGGCCTCATGTCATGATCTCAGCCTTTGTCCTTTCTCCGCCAATATTTTTCTCTTTGTTGTCAGAACCACCCCCGTCTTTGTTCTAGTTTTCCCCTTCTTATTACCCCCTCCTCCCAGCTTGGCTCCCGCCCTCCTGCATTACATCTGTGTAATTAACCAGCTGGCACAAGAGCAAACTCCTCCTTCAACACTCCTTCACTGCCAGATTGTCATTGATGAAATTGTGTCCAGTCACTCTCCAGCATTTGTTGCCTCTGCTTGTCCTGATTTGTTTGAACTGATCTGTGTATGGATGTTAGTTCTCTCTAGACCTTGAGTCAGTAACCTGTCCCTAGTTTCCTGTCTGCATGATTTGTGTATGGACTGTACTCACCCTCCAGTTCTAATTATTGGTCTGAACCAGTTGTCTGGGCAGCCTGTTCTGATATGAACTGTTTGTGTTCCTGTGACCAACAGAGGTAGCAAAAGTACACACATTCATTACTCAAGTACAGATACAACTGTAGAAAATAAATTAATAAATAAAAATGGTAAAAGTTCTGGTTCATACTTTTTACTCAAGTAAAAGTAAAAAAAAATCCAGGCTGTGAAGTAGAATCAAATTACAGCAGTAAAACATAGTCCTACGAAGGACATTTATAATTAAACCATACTAACTTCAAATAAAATAACAAATATGCCAAAGATAATTTACATTAACTAATGAGAAAACATTTCTGGTCTAATTAAATCTTAAACACTTGTTATCTGTCATCTGGACAGCTACTTTTAGAAGACCCCAGTTCTAGATACAAGCGATGGGGTGATCCTGCTTTGGCTGTAGCTGCTCTTAAATTATGGAACGCCCTTCCTCCCAGATTCTGCTCTGTCACTGACCTTGCTCTGTTTAAATCCAAACTAAAGCCATTATATAACTTTGGCTTTTGGTTCCTAGTAGAGTTTTATCAGTTTTATGGGTGCTGATCACTTTTATTTGTCTCTATTTTGTCTGTGTTTTAGTGTTGACTGTTTATATTTGTGTTTTTTATGGTTTTGTTTACTAGGTGTATGTAAAGCACTTTGGTCAACTTCTAGTTGTGCTATATAAATACAGACTGAGTTGAATTCAGCCTCAGCAGAAGCTGGTTTGCAAAGTTCTCTGAATCCAGCTATGCTGTTTTGGGTCTGAAAATCCTGTCGTGCTGATATATGTACATACGTAGAAATATCTTGTTGCTCTGAATCTGCTCTGTTGGCAATGACGTCTGGTTCACTTTCATCCAATTCGCTAGTAGTTCCAACCCTAATAGATTTCAGATTTAATAGATGCATTTGAGTACTGACAGGAACTAGCAAGAGAGATCATATCTCTCCTATATTTGCTTCTCTCCACTGGCTCCCTGTAAAATCCAGAGGGTAATTTAAAATCCTTCTTCTAACATACAAAGCCCTTAATGACAAGGCTCCATCGTATGTTCCCCCCGTAGCCTGTTTGTAGATGCACTACTTACATGGTGCTTCAGTTTCTGATCCTATTTTCTGCTTATTTCTAGTACTGTTGTGTCCTACTGAGTCATCCTTAGTATTTACATTGCTGTATGTTCCCAAACCAGTCTTAGTAGTTGTTTTCTCTCACTCTCCTGAGCCTGTCATATTACCTGCCAATTTACATCTAGAACTTCTTATAAGTCTTATAAACTGTACACTAAACAGTATATAGACTTTCAAGAAATGCTAAAACGTTCACATGTAATCAAATTTATGAAGTGCAGTTTTTATCTAATATAAATTTTTTAAAATTGTAATATAAATATATAATTAATTATAAATTACATTTTCTTCATAGTACTGATGTTTATTTCTTAGAATCTACTGCAGTCCTAATATTTAAGTCATACATTGCATCACAGCTTTGGCTGGAGACTTTTTCACATGCAACCTATTAGAAACTGAGGAGATGAAGTTATAAAGACACCTGTGTTGTAAGAAGTGTATGATCCACTGATGCTCTAACATTGTTTTACTGTCACATTATTAACTACCACTAAAATGTAGTACAGCAATCATAGTTCATTTCAGCAATTTACTATTTGCTGCAAAATTAAAGGTGCAAAACATGAAACATTAACAATAAATCAGCTCTGTACCAACACTAAAAACAACAAAACACAGAAAGCTGTGACATTTCTCTCTGTGTAGGCGTATCAAAGAGGAGCTGGCAAACAGAGATCCTCCAGGATCACATTGAGGAGGCTGAGGAGATGTTTGAGCTGCTACTGGTCTCCCCTGAAAGCACAGTGATTGGTAGCATCAATAAGGCCCAAGTCACCATCAGAGACTCTGGAACAGGTAAAAATAAACCCCAGCTGGATAATTTTGTGATCTTAGAAGACACTGTGCAAGGTTGTATGTATGTAAACCACACATTTTTCACCAGAGTCATATATTTTTGCTACTGTAGTTTCGTTTTTCACAAGATGGCTTCAGTTAATCAGATTAAAACCCAGGTAACTGACAATTTCCTAAAGACACTTAAAACTTAAACATTACAGGACAGTGCCAGCTGAATCAGGTTCCTCTCCTTGGAGGAAAAGCGATTCAGTCAGACACGTACCCTCAGCATGGATCCATTCAACTAGAGAAATTTCCTATAGGCACAGAATCAGTCATCTTGACCCATGGAGACAGCATCTCAAGGCCTGGAGCAAGTTTCCCAAAAAAGAAACTCCGTGTTATGGACAATCCCAAGTCTGTACGTTCCTACTGGATTTGACACGTTCTTTTTTTGCCACAGCTTCTTTCCAGCTTAAATACTTTTATAAACTGTTACCATTTCTTCTTTCAGATTGCACCTTCATCAGTTTTTCACAATGGGACAGACATTGTTTACATGGTAGGCAGCAGCATCAGTTGATACTAAACTGAACTAACTTTTCAAGCTTTTCATCTCTCATTTATTTTGTCTCTTTAATCCCAGTATCATGGCATCATGCAGATGCAAGTAGAAGACAATACCTCCCCATCCAGGAAGAACAGAAAAGCAAACATCCGTGTGGTTAGCAGGGGGCCACAGGCATTAGCAGTGCTTACTAACTCAAAACAAGATTCTCAAAGAAAGCTCTTAAAACCTCAGAAAACCAGACTGACCAAAGGACGTGTGAGTACAAATGTCACTTGTCCTTTTCTACTTCTTGGAAAATGAGATTAATTCTCTTTTGCCAGGACCTTTGTCTCTATTTCAGCTTTGTGATCAGGGCCATGTGGAGTTGCTTAACAGATAATCTGTCTAAATTGCCATTTTATTTCCCTTCATTTCTTCAGCTTAACATTCTATTGATGTTGGCCAAATTCTGTTTGAAATGGGTGGATTATTTTTATGAACCCTTTTGACAACATGAAAGTTGTGGTATTGGTTGCTATGATTATGTTGGTTTTCATGATGCTTAAAAATATGCAGATTCAAGCCATACAGCTGCATTAATATCTATATTTTTGTGGCTATTTTTCTGTCAGAAAAAAAAACTGATAATGTGCACAGTTTTTTATCATTAATTGCAGCTCTTTGAACCGCCACCTTATTGTGGTGGAGGAGTTTGAGTACCCGAGTGATCCTAGGAGCTATGTTGTCGAGGGGCTATATGTCGCTGGTAGGGTCTACCAACGACAGTAAGTCAGACTTGTTTCCAGTGCATGTTGGACTCCGGCAGGGCTGCCCTTTATCACCGGTTCTGTTCATTATTTTTATGGACAGAATTTCTAGGCGCAGCCAGGGGCCGGAGGGAGTCCGGTTTGGGGACCACAAGATCTCGTCTCTGCTTTTTGCAGATGACGTCCTGTTGGCCCCATCAAACCAGGACCTTCAGCGTGCACTTGGGCGGTTTGCAGCCGAGTGTGAAGTGGCTGGGATGAGAATCAGCACCTCCAAATCCGAGGCCATGGTTCTCAGTCGGAAA